GGCTGTCAGCAGATGCTCACCAGAACCCAGAGGAAGGGTCCCCCAACCTATGAAGTCATCTGAAATAACAAGAAGTAGACAAGGATCTGTAGGGCGCAGCGGGTGTCCCCGGGCTGGGGCTGAATCCAAGTGGAAAGCACCCTCCCCCCCACAAGATCTGCAACAGTGCCCTTCTGCACTCCTCCGCTCAGGCTGCAGGGCTGCCAGAAGCCCCAGAGACTTCTGAAAGAGGCAGGGGGCAGCCAGGCTGGGCCCTGAGCAGGAGCCTGGCAGGGAAGCCCTAAGCAAAGCGAAGGGCACCTCCCCCAAACATCTGACTAAACCAGAGCGTCCACCGGCTCGGGCCTGAGAGCTGAGAGCAGGAGTAGCTTTTCCTCAGTCTCAGGAGGGCAGGGTTGGAGAGGTCTGGAGGCAATGAACCTTGGTCCCAGCAGCCTGGGGACCAGCATGGCTTCTCTGTCTCAACTCTGTGGCAGCTCAGAATCAGGAGTGCCCAAAAGATCCGCATCCCAGGCACCCCATCCCATCCTCTCCAAGGGGAGCCTAGCAACCAACTGGGATAAGTCAAAGGATGGCCACTGGAAAGCTTCTGATGCATTTCCAAGCGCAGAACCCAGCAACTTCAAATCCCTCGTAAGTTGAGGTAACATGGACAGATGGATGAGTGAATGATAGATAGGTAAACAGATGGATAGACGGGTTGGAGGGGGGATAGACAGATGGGTAGATAAGGGAATGGGTAGAGAAAAGCAGGGATTGATGGGTAAATAAATGGCTGGGTGGCCCATTCAAAACAGCCTAGAAGCACTCACACATTCGCCTTCACCTTGGGCGCTCTGAGGTAAGAAGGAATGTATGTGGACAGCTCCCTGGACACCCCTAAGGACAGCTGCTTTCCCTGGGGGACACAGAGGCATGGCATGGCCCTTGCCTCCTGCACTGTGGCATAAAGCACACACACCCATGAACTGGCAATCTTACTGGACAAAGCAGCCGGTCCTCCGAAGAGCAAAGAGCACAGGGCTCATCGTGCCCCCCAAGCCACAGGAAAGGTGCCCGTGTCCATCTAGCTTTTCCTTCCCCTCCCCAGTCTCCATTTGACTCCTGCTCCCTCTATTCCCTCCCAGCTCCCTGCCAGTTCCTCCTGTCCCACTGCAACCAGGCCTGGCCCCTTGTGGGACACCTTCCTGACTGATGGCACCTTCCCCTGGGCATTCCGTGCCTCCTCCTCTGCCTTGGTTCTCACACCAGGGCCAGCCTGCAGGTCTGGGAGTCCATCACAGCTCAGCAGGAACATCCCAAGGCCCCACCGGAACAGTTCCTCCACCTGCTGCTGTCCTGGTCCAGACAGTATGGACTGGACGTGCTCTGCTGACCTCTGAACCCAGCTCCAGGGGCCCTCCCACCCCACCTCCCCTAGAGCACCCAGCACCTCCAGCCTCCAGCAATTATAGCTGGAGCCAGGCGCCACCCTGTTCTTGCTTTCCATCCCCTCGAATCCATTCCTCCAGCCCCGTGGCTCTCCACGGCCACCTACCTTGGGTACCACCAGGATTAACTGTTCTCAGCCCGAGTCAGAACCAGAAGACTGACACTTAAACTAACCTGATCTTTGCTCTGCCTGGAACCAGGACCAGTGCCACTGCTCCTGGGCCAGCACAGAATGCTGTCACCCTGACATGCTGAGGACTCAGAGCAAATACCCAAACCTCTGGGGCCGGGTTAGTGCCCACATGGGATGCTCCTATGGGACAATTGCACCAAATGAGTGAACAGCATCTGTCTCATAGTAGTATGACGAGCATCACAGGCTGGGGGGTGGCTCCGTGGTGTAGTACTTGCCCAGCATGCACAAGGGCTGGGTTCAATCTCCAACACCAAAGTAATAATAAAAATAAAATATTCATAAGGCTCCCAGAGTCTTGCTGCTGGGAACATTCTCCCCGCTGCCCTCCTGGGAGCTCCCCCTGGTCTTCCTGCTCAGTGTGTGACTGCGGGTTACCCTCCGCCTCTGCCAGGAGCAGCAAGCTTCAGCTAACTGTCCGATGTACAGTCAGCCGTGTATGAATCACCCATTGGGCTGCTGTGAGTGAATGGGTGAATGGATGATGGATGGATGAGTGGATGGATAGGCAGCTTGCTGCCCTCTCTTCTGCAGTGGGCTCTTCCTGTAGCAAGGTCTTGGCGTGCAGGGTGTGACATCCTGTCCAGCCTGCCCAGATGCTGCCTGCTCCACTGCTGGCTCTAGGGGCTGGAGTGCTGGTCTGTGTCCTTTCCCATGGGCTGTTAAGGATTTCCGGCTCCCAGCATTCTGCCAGGGCAGTCAAGGCAAGGCGGAAGGATGGAAGGGCTTCTCCTCCTTCCTGGGAGGCCGGGTTGGGACCCTGCCGAGCCATGCTCAGGAAATGGAGAAGGGAGCTGGGAGACTGGGCCTGAGCTGGCACTAGCCCTACCCCTTCCACCCTTTCCTGAATGGCGGCCTGCAGGGTCTCCCTGGAGGACGCATGGCGGGGGCCTCTGAAACTCAGGCAGAGGCCCTGCTCTTGGTGCAGATGGTGAGCAGGCAGAGCATGAGGTCATCCGAGAGTGGTTACAGTAAACCCAGCCTCTGCACGGGCTATTCTGGACCAGCACATACTAAGCAACTGTGACATTCCGCTGGGGCTAGACACAAGAAGTAAACAGCGAGCTCGCCTTTGATGCAGAACACACATGTCCCTTCCCAGCAGCCCCGTTCTCTGAAGCTCTGCCCACAGATGTCCCTATCTGGAGCCTCACGGGCTTCGAGGACGAGAAGTGAACCGTGTCCAATCTGCTTTTTAGCCTGAAAGATGCAACACAATGCAGCGACTTCTGCGAGACACAGCATGAGCTGACTGACGAGGCCCACCTGGGGTGCGTCCTGTATCACCCCACATCCACCTCCCAGCCCCAAGCCCATGTCAGTCCCCCGCCCTGCATCCGGACACCAGTGTCCTCTCTTGGACTCGCCTGCTGCTGTCTTGCAGGCTATGGATAAACCCGTAACTTATCTACACGCCTGGACTGTGGGTGAATTCTCTTACTGCCTGAGGTTCCAGCCGGTCCCCAAGACATCACCTGACACCAGCACCTCCCGAGGCACACACTGAGTAGGCTGTGTCACAGCCCCAGAGAAACTCACTTCTAGAGCCTGTGACTGTGCTCTCCAGAAGAACGGCAAGAGAGACTTCAGAGCAAGTCACCCCACAGTCACAGTAAGCTGGCCAGCAGAGCCCAACTCAGGCTTGGGAAAACCCCAACTCTACACGACTCTGGGCTCCACCGCGCTGGGCAGGGTGCATCCACGCGGTGTACAAACGGCTAGTGCTTCCGGGGGTGCCCGAGGCCGTCCTTAATCTCCATCAGGGGTAACTAGCGGTGCCTTCGAATGAATGCAGACTGAGGAACGGGAATGACGATAATGACATGTATCTCTAAACAACCGCAGCAACAAAGGACATGGCTGAAGGCTGAGTCCAAGAAACCGCCACTGGGACTCCGCATGTCCCCTCCCAGCTCAACCTCCACCCAGCCTGGGCCCGGTTTGACCTACCCTGGGGTCCCGGTGCTGTCCTCCAAGGAACTGCCGGGCTTCCTCCCCCCTAAGTGGTGGTGGCTACAGAACCTAGAGGCCCAGAGGGTGGGAGCTGCTCTTCCCAGGCCTCTCCAGCGGCAGCGCCAGGAAGGAGCCACATTCATATGGTAATTTCTCGGGGACTAGGAGGACCCAGGAGGGGGAGGGATGTCTGGCAGCCTCCTTGAGACCCTGCCCAGTGGGCTCTCCAAACAGGCGCACGTGAGCCGAGTTCTCAAAAAGCGGGCACAGGAAGGCATTTTGCAAGGGCAGATAGATCGTGACACGGATAGCTGGTGGTGCCAGTTGTGGCAAAGGGGAGAGGGGCTCCACTAAGCGCTGTCTGGTGATTGATTGATCAACTGACCTTTTGGTACTGGGACCGAACTCACAACCTCACATTTGCCCCACCTAGCCACACCCCCGGGCCCCAGTGTAAAGCTATGACGAACTCCCATCTGTTCCCCAGTCTACCCTTTGTGTACAGAGGGGATGCGCAGAACAGTTGGAAATACTACAGCAGGCTGCTCCCCAGACCTCGGCCCAGGCCCCTGCAGACCGCCCCACCCCACATCCCCACCCTTCCTCAAGAAGGCTGCTTCTCCCTGGGAGTTAGCCAGCCTAGGGGGAGCACCCTCAGAAAATCACCCTCCAGTGGTGTAGAGTTGCAAGCGTGTAATCCCAGCACTCTGGGATGCCGAGGCAGCAGGATCCCACCTTTGAGCTCAGCCTGGACAAAGTGAGAATTTAGTGACCACTTCTCAAACTGGAGAAAAGGACTGGGGTTACACTTCAGCAAGAAGGCCCTAGGTTCAACCTCCATTACCAAAACAAACAAAAACAAAGCCACCCTCCCCAGCTCTTCCTGGGAACCAGGCAGCCTAGAGCCCCATCACCTACCCACTTCCTCTTTTCCTGAAGATGGCTCCCTTGGCACCCCATGCCTGCCTGCCTGTCCTCTGCAGAGATGCCCACACCTCCCATGTCCCTTTCTGCCGTGTGCTGGGCCTGAGCAGGTAGAGGGCACTAGAAGTCCGCGACCAGGAAGCAGCTGCAGACCCAAAGAGGTCCTCTGCATATCTCACCACACCCCACACAGATCCCCACGGGTTCACCCTAATCCACCAGCTCAAGAAGAGCCAGAGGGCCCCCGGGCCTCCTGGGGTCTCAGGGAACCTAGAGGGCAACCCTTGGAGAAGGGCAAGGAGAAAAGATTAGAAGGGTGGGTGCTCTCTGTTCTGCCTAACAAGCACAAAGCACCCCACCAAGCCACGTCCATCCCCAAACTCATGGTACAGAGTCTGGTGTGTCAGCCGGGCCGAAGACCCCACGATTACCCCCAGAAATGCACAGCCACGCAGAAACTGGTACACAAATGTGCAGCATTACTTACAGCAGCCAGAGGGGGAAACCCAAATGCCACTGTCTGATGCGCAGGTAAGCAAAAGGGGGGATATTTTTAGGATAGAATATCACTCCACCATAAACAGGAAGGAAGTGCTGGCTGGGGCGTGGCCCAAACTCAGCACTTGCCTAGCACACAGGAGGCCTGAGGTTAGGTCTCGAACATCACTAAGCAAAATGAAACGAAATGAAATGAAGTGTTGACAAATGCCGCAACATGGACAGACCTTGAAAATATTATGGCAAGTGACAACAGCCGGACACAGAAGCCCACATCCTGTATGAACCCATTTTCTAAAGTACCCTGAAAAAGTCAATTGACCAGGACAGAAAGCAGGTTAATGACGGCTGGGGCGGGATGGGGACAGAAGGGAGGGAGTGTGTCCTGTGAGTGCCCAGGTGCAGGTCTCTTATCTGGCAGCGGTAAAATGTTCTGGGATTAGACTGCCACTGGCTGCTGTGAATGAGTCACCTTGACTGGGCTACGGGGTGCCCGGGTATTTGGTCAGGCATTGTTCTGGGTTTTTCTGTGAGTGTATTTAATACTTAAGGGGACAGGTTAAATAAAGCAGTCACAGACAGCCTCCCTAGTAAGGGTGGGCCTTATTCAGGGGGTCGAGGGAAGAAGGCTCACAAGCTGCTACCCCAAAACATAAGGCCTAGGCTCACAGGTTGGGCTGGAGGACTTCGAGAAGCGCCCTGACCTCCTCTTCCGCTGAGACTTAGGACAAGACTGCTAAGTGTGAGGTCCCCTCCGTACCCCAACAGGAGCACCCTTATCTGGGCAGCTGGAGGAGCCCAGGGAGCAGGACAGTATGCCAAGCTTCCCAGCTGATGACCCCGTGTCCACACACTGGCCGATGAAGGTCCACTCTCCACCCAGCCTAGCACAACCCCTGGGGCTTTCCGTTTCTTTACTTCCTCATGCAGATCAAATCTAAATTTAAAAAACAGGTGTTCTCTCCCACTCATCTGCCTTCACCCGCAAACTGGTACACCCCACTTTTGGGCTGCAAGCTGGCCAGAGGGACCTGTGATCCTGAGAGGGATGAGGAGCCAAATTCTCAAGACCCCTCTCTTCCCCTGGGTGGCAGCCCTCTGCTGGGCTGGTGGTCTCGATTTCCAGGACTTTAGTTATTCACAACTGACCAATCTGAAAAGGTGAAGTGGCAAATTCAACCAACGGACCACTCCCAAGTCTTAATATCACTTTTGCTGCAGTACCGTCTGTATGGTAACTTCATAAACGTACTGTGGGGCTGGGTACTTCATTTCATTTTGTTCTGACCTTGTTTTGAGATAAGGTCTAACTATTGGTCCAGACCGGACACCAACTCAGTATGCAGCCCAAACTGGCTTTGAACTTGCCAACCTCCTGCCTCAGCCTTCCATGTGCTGAGATTATAGGCGCCTGCCACTACACCTGGCTTGAATCGCATCCTTGAAAACAACGTGATGATAATGAATCAGATCGTGGTAAGGCTATTATTAAAAACAGTAACAACAAAGAACTGAGAGCAGTGTGCACTATCCAAGCACAAGGATGGTGTCCTCCCTGCCCATGGCCACTCATCTCTGCCTCAGTCGCTGCACTCCCAGAAGCACTGCTGCCTGACCCTAACAGTGACGGTGACTGAGTCACACGGTAGCTGTCTCATGTGCCTCTCCCTTACGCTCTGCAGCAGACAACCTGCTCCCCGAGACACCCACTCAGCTCCTGGCTCTGACTTCAGGGCCAGCAGCAGCACTGAGAGACTAGGTTTGCAGTCCCTGCAGGGACGAGCCTCTGCCCGGGCCAGGCGAGGATGGCAGAGTCCCTGCGCTGGAGTGGGACCTCCTGGGCCCTTCCCAAGAGGCACAGACCATACCTGGAAGAGGATCCCTCCCTCGTCCTCACACCCCACAGCTGAAGGAAGCCAAGCAGAGGATGCTACAGCCCCCACCTGTCAGGGCCACCTGGAGCTGCTCAGGGTTTAGTGACCAGTGAAGTCTCCAAGTGCCCTGGGGTGTGAATTCCAAGTGTCTCCCACAGACGCTTGGGGCCTCCCTCACCTCCACCTACCTGGAAACCCCAGGTCCTTCTGGGGAAAAGTCAAGTCCTCCCACCTCTGTGAACAGGCAGAGGAGTTTCTGCTGCGTGGCCAGATGGGGAAGCTGAGGCACACACAGCAAGGTCATTTTCCTAGTGTCTCCTTCTGTATCTCTCCTCAGGCCTGGCAGGGAAGCTGCTCTCTGGAGAGACGGAGGTCCCTGCAGCCCTGCCTGGGTCATAATCACAGAGCAACTCGGAGCCTCAGTACCATCTCAGAGATGCCCACAGAACCTTGCTGAATGAATCTGAGTGAGTGAGCAAATAACAACGCTAATAGAGGAGCAGGGGCCGGGGCACAGGGGCCCAGGGCCCAGGGCACAGGGCCTGGGCCTGGGAGGAGAGGAGAGAGAAGCAGCCATGACCTCTGGCAGGACAGGAAAAGAGCACGGAGGGTCTCCATGCGCTGTGGCCTTGCCGGTCCCAGGACTGCAGGAAGCAGGCATTGGTGGAAGTGCAGGGCGAGGGTGACACTCAGGGGCCAGTGACACAGCAAGCAGAGGCCACTCCTGACCTTTCCCTCAGGGCCCACGCCACCTGAGTTCCGAAATCCTCGCCACCACACCAGGCTCAGTCCAGGAGCCCTGACCCATGCCCTCTGCCCAGTCCCTGGGGCTCCTGCTGCCCTGAACCTGTGCTGTCCCCCCCCCCCCAGTTGTCCCCCTCCTAACTCTCAAGAGTCCAAAGAGTGATCCCCTTGCCCCTAGGCCAGGAAGCCTTTCTGCATCTCTATCTTCCTGGGTAAGCCCACAGATCCTGGGGCGCCCACCTGACAGCTGCCTGTGTACCTCTGGCCCTGCTGGCCAGAAGCTTCTGGAAGGCTTGTCTTACATGCCCCTTCCTCGGACTCTACCCAACCCACAGCTGGGCCTTGGCAGCAGATGCAGCCTGCGACAGACTCAGGATCTCCGTGTCCACTCTGCAGGAACTGGCTCCTGATGGGCACTGGTGTCCAACGTGCAGGCAGAGAAGGCAGCTTGGAGGGGAAGAGCGTGCCTAGGGTGCGTGGTCAGCAAGAGGAGCACAGACCCAGGCAGCTGGCCGCACACAACCACCTCCCAAGGTCACCAGGAGAGTTCCATCGGTGCCCCATTAGCAGAGGTGGGGGGTACTTGGGTCTGATCTCCCCAGTAACCTGCTGAGGCTCCCTCTTTTTCCTGTCTCCCTGTCCAGTCCTCTGCAGAAACCATCAGTACTAACCTGACCCCCCCTTCTCCCCGACTTCTGGCTCCCCTACTCTTCCGGGGATGTCAGACCTCAGCCAGCCATGCTGAGTTCTACTACCTAAGCTCCCTCGCTTTCACCTGAAAAGATTTGCAGCCTCTTGGGGTGCTAAGCGGGGGACAGAAGGGATCCTACTAAACCAGAGTTGGGGGCTTGGCAAACAAGGGAAGAGTGAGGGCTGAGCATCTGGGTCCCCGGACACAGCGTCCTCTGTCCCCACTGGGGCCCCTGTCATGTGGCCTGTCGGGGGCACAGTCCAGGCCCTTTGAGCAAGCCAAGGTGAAACGAAATAGGGCCACATGAGGCAACTGGCGTGTGCACAGTTCCACATTGTGGGGGACCCCAGACCCTCCCAGTTAGCTGAAGACACCAGCAGGGATAAAGTTCTAGCCCCTAGAACGGGCTCGGTGGGCCCAGGGTACCTTCTCAGGCCTCTCACGAAGATGCGGGGACATAGAATTGGTCCCTTCATGCTGGCCGGGGGGCTTCGGGCAACACTGGCCCAATCAAGAGCTTCGAGGGGCCCTGGACCTGACTCATAGGTGGCCTGGAGCCAAAGTGGATCAGTGAGTCAGCTGAAACCTGGAGTCTAATCCATTATGCATCAGCAGCAGCCTTCCATGCTCGCTAAGAGCAGAAGGCTCAGAAGGTGCTCTCTCGCCAGCAGAATGCTGGACAGGGATGCCGCTGTTTGCCTCAGCTTTCTCATCTGCCAATGGAGGCCAAGATTCCCTAGGGAGCCCCGAGAAGGGCCAGTGTGAGTGGGGGCAGCGATCGTGTGGCACTGATGGAACCCCAGGTCTCGCATGTGTGCTAAGTCCGTGCCCGCATGTGCTCTGCCACTAAGCTACAGCTTTTTAAAAAGACTACACATGAATCAACAGGAAAACAAAGGCCTTTGAGAAACCTGTTCTTTATCCCATGAGGCAAAAGTCAGGGAGAATGACATTCCACCACAGAACTGTTCATTTCCCCGCCGAAGTCTCCACTGTCAGATGGGGAGGGAAGGAAGGGGCCTAAAGAAAGTCTGGGGAACTGACCAAGACCCAGAGTGAGCCCCGATCAGGGGGAAGGGACAGGCTATGGGGTCACTGAGACCTCCAGTCCCATCACTCCACCCACTCCCTTGAGGTGCAAGGGGAACCCTGGATAGGAACCCCACTGCTCCTAGAGAAGACCCTGCCATTCCTGGTGACAAACACGGAATTCATGTCTCCAGGAGGGCATCTAACCAACCCCTCAAAGAGGGAGAGCAATGGGGCATCGGGCCCTACCCAGGGGTCCAGGGACTCTGCAACACCACAGAAGCCCAGCTGGCTGGGACACAGGGTTCTCAGGGTACCACAGGGCAAGCAACATAATTCTACAGATATGGGCAGGTAGTCTGTGCCATGCAGTTTTCTTCTGTACCCGCTGGAAGCCACCACAGAATTTCCTCTTCCTCATTACTGACTTGTTCCCATGAAGTACCTGCCCACATAAGGGCCTGGAGGGCTTGAAGAGCCTGGAGGGTGTATGGGATTCTCAGGTTCTCAAGGACATGCAGAGAAGCCGGGAACCCAGAGACCTCAAGCACCGAGCTTAGAACCACCAGCCGCCAGGCTCCTGCTCGGTGGCTCCGCTTGGCTGTGTTCTCACTAAGGCACGGGGGCCCAGCCTGGAAGGCTCTGACAGTGCGCGTGCTGCAGGACCAAGGGCACCGATATCGGCGTGCTGATTTCGGGGATCCCGGGATCCCGTGCCCTCTCATCCTAACCTTCTCACCTCGCAGCCAGGTGCAGGCGAGCACCTTTACCTGTTCCCTACACAGCTTCCCACCAGCCACCGTGCTACATCTGTGCTGTTCTGCAGTCCTGACCACCCCCACCCTGCCCCACGGTGTCAGTGGGCCACTCTCTGGCCCATCATTAGTGACACCATCAGCGAGTAGCATTTCCCCAGACCTCAGCAAACAACCCACAAAAGACACCATGCCTGTGCTGGAGCCCCCCTCAAAACAGGGTGAAGAAATGTTGCTTTTCTCTGTCCTCCCTGCCTCCCTGCTTCCCTTCCTTCCAGGGCCTTGGGCATGCTAAGAGAGATGTCTACCACCATGGAGCTGTGTCCCAGCCCCTAAGTGTTATTGCTGAATCTTTTTCCTACAGGCCTTCAGAGGAGATCTCATGCAAAAGAAAAGCAAAAAGTATAAGGATAAAAGAAATCCTAGCTGGGCAGAGGAGCACACACCTGCCATCCTAGCACTGCAGAAGGCCAAAGGGAGAAGTACAAGTTCAAGCCCAGCTGGGGCAACTTAGCAATTTACTGAGACCTTGTCTCGAAAATAAAAAGGGCTGGGGCTCTGTCTCAGTGCCAAGGCTGCGGGGCTTCGATTTCCGATGCTGTCATTTTAAAAAAAAAAAAGGTAAAAATCTGAGCTACAAAATGCTGACCATTCATTCGTCCCACCATTAACTGAGCGGCACCAGGAAGGCCAGGAACTGAACACAGAGATCGACGAACTGCAGGCTCCACAGGAGTTTGAAGGAGAGGGACAGACAGACCCCAACATTCCGCTGTGCAGGGCTTGCAGTGGAAGTGAAGACCACAGCCACAGCCAAGAAAACCACTTCCCTGCCTGGCTTGGCCTTGCGGGCCCCAAATCTTATCTCCTCTTCCAGTGGTGAAAGGCACCTGGAACAGAGCCTGGGAGATAAGAGATAGCGATCTGGGAGGAGGAAGACATTCAACTGAGGACACAGGCAAGGCAAGGACACGGACGCCAAGGCAAGGACACAACTGTTCCATCACTACAGTGACCAATATGGCCATTTGATGGCCAAATTAAAACATTCACAAATTGCAGTCAGGCTGGGCAGGGAGAGGACAGATGTTATCAAGTGTCACCTTCCAGGCCCCCTGTGCAGAGCAGCACCCAATCCTCCAAGACAACCCAAAGCCTGGCCTTCCCCCAGGCACCAACTCCCACAGCCCACGGTGACTCCTGCCCTGCGGGTGCCTGGAGGCAGACAGAAGCAGCTCAGGCCCCTGCAGAAAGCTGGAATGAAGCTCAAGGTCCCCACCTCTCAGGACAGCCTGGTGGGTGTGAGTCCTGGCATGGGAGACACAGGACAAGGCAGGAGAGACCACCCCTGGGTGAGGGGGTGAGGCAAGGCAGGGATCTTGGCATGGAGGATTCCAGAGCCACCCACGGTCCCCAGGTTCTGGCAGGAGCCCCTTGCCAGCCTGTAATTAGACCTGCCGAGTCTTCCTGCTGAGTCTTCATAAGACAGACATGCAGGGCCTTGGCACTGTGGTGCACAGCCACCCTCAGAAGCTTCCCTGGGAACGCTTCCGAAGGCTCCACAGGGCTCCTAAGAGCAGGTCCCTACCTGTCCCGGAACCAGGCAGGCACTCACTACACAAAGCCCAGCTCCATGCGGCGGGGAGGAGGAAGACTGGAAAGGAGAGCCCGCTGAGTGCTGCCCCTCACCCAGGGGTGGTCTCTCCTGCCTTGTCCTGTCTCTCCTAAGCCACACCGGGACTCACACCCACCAGGCTCTGAGTCTTCCCAAACACGCGGCTTCGGGAAACGGGGCTCCTTGGGGCATCAGCCTGTGCTGTTTCTGGAAGCCCAGCGGGCATCACCAGTCCCTGAGGAGATGAAGGATGCCAAGAGGGGAGGAGGGCCACCACAGTCACCCAGGAGGGGCCACCAGGCTCATCCTTGGCCTTCTTGCATTAAGATAAAGGCACTCTTCCCTCCCCCACAGTCAGGACGGAGAGAGGAAGCCCAGAGACTTCCGGGGTGGTGTGGGAAAGACAGCACAAGACTGAACCAACCACACAGGTCAATGGGGAACAGGAGCTGAGCCCTGGTGACAGGCTTCTCACAGGAGTCCTAAGACCCTCTGACACACCACAGGGGTTTTTGGCGCTGCCCGGGTGGGCAGGATCCCTCTTGGGACGGCATTCTGGTGAAGCCATGTCACCCTTGGGGAAATATGCTATCTCATCCGAGCAGCTCGGATCAGCCCTGATGAAACAGGAAGCTGAGGAGCACATGGTGGCAGAGTGGAGGGGGCAGGGAGGGAGGTCAACAGCCAACGCTGGGGCCCTGCCGCAAGGGTCCCGGGAGCCCATCATCACAGACAGGACAGGGACCTGGCACCCACACGATGACCTCAGAGGCCCCCAGGAGGACCACTTTTGGCCCAGGGTACTGGGGCCAGCCTCGGACTTGCTGTGCTTGGCCTCGTGACCCTGTGGCCATCTTCCCGTGAGAGCACAGTTCCTGGAGGGCAGAAGCCTGGCCCCTCCATCTTGGAATGCCCTGTGGTCAGTACGGTGGGTCAGCTGAGCTTGTCATGCTGTCAGCTCACAGGAACAGGGTCTGTGGACACAGGCACACAACCCAGAAGATGCAACGGTGCTGCAAGTGCCCCAACACAGAAATGACAAGGTCCAGGGGTGGGCCAGAGGCCAGCCACGACTCAGGTCCCTAGGGATAGCTATCTAGAAAGATAATCCCACAGAAGGCCACTTCCATAGCAGCCTGCCCAGGGCAGACACAGCAGACAGAAACACAGACCACACCTTTCCAGAGAGGACTGGGATGGAGCTGGCTGCTATCCCTGGTCGCTTACAGTGTAAATTCCTTTCTCCTGGTTCCTGCAAGCTTGCCCTCTGGCCGCCAAGGAGAGCCAGCCAGAGTGTGACATTTGTATAAATGTCATCAACGTCCCACTAAGTGTCCAGGTAAAGCCACTTGAACAAAAGAAAAATGTACAGCAGTATTAGGGAACTTTCCCCATCTCCTGCTCTAATGGGCTTTTCCACATGGGATCCAAACAGAATTCCAACTCAGTGTTTGCAAGCACTGTCCCCACAGCCCAGATCTGATCTGCAAAAAACCCTGCAAGTCGCTAAGTTGCTTCTCTACCAGCTGCTTCCGGGTGGCATTTTTCTTAAAAGAAAGGAATCTCACACTTCTCTTGGAGAACATGGGGAGCAAGGGGGATGCTCTGGAGACCTCTGACAAACACAGGCAGTTTTCCCATCAGAAAAGAGAAGGGACTGGGTGCAGCAGATTGTCGCTGAGTCAGTCCTTAGGGGACACTTGAGACAAAGTCTAAGAGCAGAAAGCAGTGCCCCGTTACTTCCTACTTGGGTGCAAGGGACCACACTTCACAGGGCTGGGGGATCTGAGTGCGGGGTGCCCACAAAGGCCCTCCTGAGATAACCCCAGCTCCTTCCTGGTCCCTAGCCTATTGGCAGGAGCTCCAGAAAGCAGACACCCCCAGTGCATTCTCCAGCAGAGCAAATGCATTCCAGCCCCCAACCCCACCCAGCAACACCCTCTGCCTTGCCCATGCCGGTAGGGTCCTACACATCCCAACCATCCCAGAAACCCAAGAGTTGACCATCGGCTCCAGCTCCCGTGGCAGTGTGGGCGCTGGGGTCTCTGGTGATTGCAGTCAGTGCAGACTAAGCCCCCACCTCCCAAGCCTCCTCTCCTAAAGACCGGGAAGCTGTGTGGAGAGACTTGAGAGAAGCGCTGGCCAAGTCACCTTTCCTCCAGGCCCCCCTGGAAGGCAGGGAAGCCCCTTGCCAAGGGGAGCAGGATCCCAGACTCTCCCAACAGGAGGAGAGCATAACCACTCGGCAGAGCTGGCCAAATATTTATAAAGCAAGAGCTGTGACCACACAAAGCCCCTTTCTTCTATCTCGCGACCGAAAATCTGGTCCCCGCGTGGAGATCAAGCTCCCTGCCGCCCCTCTCCCAGGACTTAGGGCTGTCTTGCCGGCTCAAGGGCCAGACCAGGGGGTGGCGCGGCTCTGGGCCCCACCAACGTGTCCATCAGGGGCCACCCGGTGGCCACGCCACCTGAAGGCCCCCGGAGAAAGCGGTGCGAGGCTGGGAGAACAAAGAGCGAGGACTCACCCAGCAGCTGAAAGTCGGGCTGCGCCGGACTCCGGAGAACCGCGGCCCGCCCACCGGGTCACATGGCTCAGAGCCCAGCAGAGGATCAAAGGGGCTTTGTGGCCACGGAACAAGGAGCCTCCCAGAGCGCGGGGCAGAGGTAGGAGGGCCCGCAGTGAAGGCCTGCTGAGGGAGGCTTTCGCAGGCTTGTCGGGGAGCTGCTGCTGCTGCAGGGGGCAGGGCAAGGGGTGCAGGAGGCGGGGAGAGGGACGCCGGCTGCAGGCGCATGGAAGCCTCCAGACGCCAGGGAGCCTCCCTCAGTCAGTCACCCCCAAAATGAAAAGCGACTCACTGGGCCCCTAGGGAAGAAGAGCTACGGGGAGCCACTGTGGGGCCCTCAGGCCACGCTGCCTGTGGCCAGCACTTTGGTCCAGAGTGTACCATGCGGAGTACCGCCCCTCCTCCCAGCCACACTGCACTCTCCACCCACATGCTTCCCTCAAGGGCCAGCGAGCCACAAGCTCCAGCGTCCTCCAGACTCACAGCCCAAGTCGTTGCCCCAGGCCTGTAGGCAGCTGCGGGTGGAGCCCAGATGCTCCATTCATGGCTTCTCACAGCTGCCCACGTGAGAGATGTGAGCTGCTGGCTTTCAGCAGAGAGGGACAAAGGGACAGGAGAGGTGGTGGTCAGCTCACCGCGGGCTCTGTTCTAAGAAAGAGCCTCTGGGCTCCTGTTCATCTCACTCCTGCTTCTCCCCTCACCTCTCGGGCGACAGGGAGTCTCCTCCTCTCCCCACTCTCTGCACCCTGGTATTGGGCAGGTGAGGGCGTCCCTGGAGGAGGGAGCAGACCCTGCTGTGGCCAACCCCGGGGTGCTGGGATCCGTCAGACCTATCCTGGTGCCCTGGCCTCTGACCCAACTTCTGGCCAGAGTGAGTCAGTCCCAGGCACAGTGGCCCTGGGCCAGCTCCCACACTAGCTGTGCTGGCTGGGGGTGAGGCTGCTTTGAGACCTCCAGCCCTCCTCGTTGGGATACTTGGCCTGGGAGGGGCAGCCTGGGTCCCCCAGCTCCTCCCTTACATGAGCGTCTCACAGGAGACCCATTAATGCACTCCAGGAAGTAGCCTGACACCTCCAGGTACCCCTCCAGCCCTCCAGCAGAAACTGAATGCAAACTACAGATGTCACCTTAAATTTTCTAGCTGTCACGTTTTTAAAAAGTAAGAATCAAGTGATATTAATTTTGATTATTTGTAAAATTTTGTATTTTACTTAACCCAATGAGCAAAACCGTTATCAGTTTAACACGCAATCGACATGGCTAGCGTTTCTTTTCCTTTCCACACAAAGACTCGCAAACCCCGGGTGCCTCTCGCCTGTCAGCACCCCTCAGTGTGCAGCGGTCACATTGCCATGCGCAACAGTCTCAGATGGTTTAGTCCCAGAATCGCCCAGACCCCAAAGAGCCAGATTTGGCTTCCCCAGGTCACATCTAGCTCCATGTCCTTGAGCACCCTCAGGATAGTCAGGACACAGCTCAGTGAGATACACAGAGGCGTCCATTGTACGAGATCATCAAGGTCACTGATGCCCACATCGATGTTGTCTGCCTGGGGACACCTCCCCCAGATTTCAGTTTCAAAACGAGCAGAGCCTCTCTGCCTTATCTCCCCTCATTCTGGGGACTGAACTTAGGGCCTCCACAATGAACCACCTCCCTAGCTCTTTTCACTTTTTATTTTGAGGCAGAGGCTAGCTAGCCCAGGCTGGCCTTAAACTTGCAATGCTCCTGCCCCAACCTCCTAGAACCCTGGGAGTACATGCATGTGCTGTCGCATGTCTTACAATGTCTCTTAAGACTTGGGAGGCTGAGGATCCCAAGTTCAAAGGAGGATCACCTTGAGTTCAAAGCCAGCCTGGACTCCATAGTGAGTTCAAGGCCAGCTTGAACTGCAAAGCAAGACCCTGTCTCTAAATAAATAAAAAATTAATGACAATGATAATGGTAATTTGCTAGACCTCTGGCCTGCAAGAAATCCTGTGATTCCAGTTCCTGAGGTTGTTGACTGTCCCATTTTCTGGCTGTCCCTGTCTTACGAACCAGCTTACTCCAAGAAAGGAGGATAGAAGAGGGTGACAACACCCAGGCTACCTCAATCCCTGGCCCTTCCAGAGGCCAAGGCGTCCACACACTGGCTTCTGCTGTGTGTGTATGCTTCCAACAGCTTACTCATCGTGCCTGTGTTTATTTATCTTAAAGTCACTTAAAGTTGCACTTAAAAAAAAAAAAAAAAGAATTTATAGAGACAGAAAGCAGCCTGCTGGCTGCCAAGGCTGGGCCGGATGGACAGCTGCTTAATGGGGCCAGGTTTCTGTCTTAGATTCTGAGAGTGCACCGTCACGATGGCACACAGCACTGCATACGCTGGACGGACGGCACGGCACATGGGCTGTGTGTCTGGCCACGCCAAAACATGCGTTCAAAAGGAAAGGAGTTTTGCCAGGCACAGTGGCGCATACCAGTAATCCCGCCACTCAAGAGGCTGAGGCAAGAGTACAAGGCCAGCCTGGGTTCCACAGTGAGGTCAGGGCTAGCCTGAACCCCATGGCGAGACACAAACCAAACACACACACAGAGTTAATGTGTCCCCGCAGCCCCGCTCCCTTGATCCAGTTTGATCTATTGCTTTACACCTTAAAACCAAAAGGCTCCAAAGTCACATCCTGAGCCCCTGGGACAGACTGACCAATGTCCCCTCCCCAGTTTGTGACCATGAGTTTATGGAGTGAGAGAGAGCCCACAGATGTATGTGTGAGATACAGAGACCACACGAGCAGGCCCTAAAAGCAACCACAGTATCCTTATGAAAGGGAGGCAGAGGGAGACCGGACTATGGAGAAGGCAGTCACGTGCTAACAGAGGCAGAGATAGGAGTGCTGTGGCCACAAGCCAAGGAATGTAGCAGCCACCGGATTCTGGAAGAGCCAGAAGCTGGTCCTGCCCACGCTGTGATGTTAGTCCAGCAGGTGGAGGAGAACCAACCCTCAGAGCTGTTAGCGAACTTCTGCTGCTTTCAGCCACTGTTTGAGCCAATTCACCACAGCAGGAACAGAGCGCTAACGTGAGGGCCGAGCTGGTAAGTTCACTGCTGAAAGCCTGGCAGCCAACGCTGGGAGCTGGGACCAGGGACCCCTTCAGCCCCATCAGAGTCTGAGTCAGATCTCCCAATCCCGTCGCTCTCGGATCTCTGGCCCTCATCCACCAAGACTAAGGAATCCCTCACCCCTGCATTCTGCTGGGCATCTGGTCAACCTGCAGCAGGAAACAGGGTCTGTGCCCCATGTCCTCCATCTGGGAGTAGCACTCTGTCCTTCCTGGGTACCCTCCTAACACAAGGGTCATGAACAGCAGCGCTGTCCAGCAGAGCCCTACTTTGGGAGTCCCCAGGGAACAGTCACGGTTCCTAGCTCCCACTGAGCCATCAAGGATGGAAGCACGGCACAGTCTGGAAAGCTGGCACCTGCAGGAAGTGGGAGTCACCCATGTGCTCCTCTGCACACAGCACCATCAGCAGAAAGGAGGATGTGGTTTTATAGCTCTCTCTGTCTGTCACACACACAAACAGAAACACACACAGACTCACACTCCTGTGACACCTGACCTCAGTGGCCATGGGCCCAAAGTCCATCTTCCTGCCAACTCCCTTTCACTGCCCTCATGGCTCCTGTGCTGTGGAACAGGAGGGGTCGCACGCATGGATGAGTGGCCTCTGCAGCCACGAATGCCCAGGAACTCCTTGTGTGCCTCCTGCACCTCCAAAAGATCCTGGGTGCAGCTGCAAGGCTGTGCATTCCTGGGGTGGGTGGCTGGAGTCCCCAGTCTCCT